ATCCATGTATCTAATATCTATCCATGTATCTATCCATGTATCTAATATCTATCCATGTATCTATCCATGTATCTATCTATGTATCTAATATCTATCCATGTATCTATCTATGTATCTAATATCTATCCATGTATCTATCTATGTATCTAATATCTATCCATGTATCTATCCATGTATCTAATATCTATCCATGTATTTATCCATGTATCTAATATCTATCCATGTATCTATCCATGTATCTATCCATGTATCTAATATCTATCCATGTATTTATCCATGTATCTAATATCTATCCATGTATCTATCCATGTATCTAATATCTATCCATGTATCTATCCATGTATCTAATATCTATCCATGTATCTATCCATGTATCTAATATCTATCCATGTATCTAATATCTATGTATCTAATATCTATCCATGTATCTATCCATGTATCTAATATCTATGTATCTAATATCTATCCATGTATCTATCCATGTATCTAATATCTATGTATCTAATATCTATCCATGTATCTATCCATGTATCTATCTATGTATCTATCCATGTATCTATCTATGCTAATATCTATCCATGTATCTATCTATGTATCTAATATCTATCCATGTATCTATCCATGTATCTATCCATGTATCTATCTATGTATCTATCCATGTATCTATCTATGTATCTATCTATGTATCTATCCATGTATCTATCTATGTATCTATCTATGTATCTATCCATGTATCTATCTATGTATCTAATATCTATCCATGTATCTATCCATGTATCTAATATCTATCCATGTATCTATCCATGTATCTAATATCTATCCATGTATCTATCCATGTATCTAATATCTATCCATGTATCTATCCATGTATCTAATATCTATCCATGTATCTATCCATGTATCTAATTATCATTATCCATGTATCTATCTATGTATCTAATATCTATCCATGTATCTATCTATGTATCTAATATCTATCCATGTATCTATCCATGTATCTATCTATGTATCTAATATCTATCCATGTATCTATCTATGTATCTAATATCTATCCATGTATCTATCCATGTATCTAATATCTATCCATGTATCTATCCATGTA